GACAAAGCTGGTTCGCTTCCCCTACTTTCTCTGTACAGAAATGGCGGTCATAGGCCAGGCTCAGTAACTGACACCAGTAACTAACTAAATGCGGGTTGAAACAAACCCGCTTCGTGTTTAACTTGGCGGTGCTGATCCAGGTCATCAGCTGCACCGTCCTTAGAACGGCAAAAAAGTCGGTGCGAATTTCGCAGTTCGTACTTTCGGGTTTCCGAACAAACTGATCAAGCGACATAAGTCGTTGCTGCTGCATGAGTTGACTGAGAAGTACTGCACGAACTAGGTTGGGTTTCCTATCGAATGTTCGGATGTTTGGGACACGCCTCAGATCTTTCGGCTGTGTTGTTCACAAAGCAGCTAGGCTCCACGACTTCAGGTACCGACTGATTTGGTCTCTCACCGAAACTTCAGTCTGCAAGCCAATTTCACCTTTCCATGACATCCTTATGAGTCGCATAAAGTCGTGCCTTGCTGCGTCTATTACACATGTCAATCTTTATTTAACTTGTTTCGTGGTTGGAACAAGATGCTTTGACGCCTTCAGCCTCTTTCTTGGGCATTCTCCTCATGTGGAGAACTTTGTACCGCCGGGATTGATCGCTCGAATTCACTGACCAGAAGGTCCGTGGTTCGAACCTTACTTCGGTCTTGTGAGTGGTTTGCTATCCACCCCCTAATTTTGTTATGTAGAAACTATCAATGGACAACCCGAACTAGATGAAACATTTGCAGCCGCACTCGACCAGTATGAAATACCTGGTGGCTCACCTCTACTGCCAACCTCCAGAAGCTTATCATTATGTTTGCAATCTGGCCTGTGTGGTTTCTTGGTGTAACCAAGACACCCCGAGGTTTTTCGGAAGTTTACTTTCAATGCGGATCACTGATCGATCACCGAGACTAAATTTCTAGAGTTTGTTGTAATCCTCTCTGTGTATGGTTGAACGTGCTTCGTGATGTAGCTGCTACTCGGTATCAGTGGCGTTCTTTTTGTCGATTTCTATCCATATTGCCTAGTTGAATGTCTGGAGGTGTAGGCACCCCGGAATGATTGTGGTAGACTAGCTCCAAATTGCTTCCCTATCCCTGTTTTATTCTTTCCTTCATAATAATGCTTTCAGGCAAATAACGGTTATACCAGGGCGAAGCATCAGTGCTGTTGATGGTGATTATGATTTCTAGGGTGGTACAAGTAGTTGATTGTCCGTTTCGCTGTTATTCTATTAGTGAGATTGGTTTGAGTTTCTAGAACGGAATGGAACGGTGTTGGTGCGTTTAGAAGACCGGTTTACATCCCACGCTACGAAAAGCATGATAATCTGAGTTGGATGGTCACGTGATTCGCGACAGTTTGCGCGCCTTCACAGCGCTATTGTTTAACCACATGGAGATTTGTGTACGATCCTCCATTTTTACGTAGCTGCACTTTAACAGAATGAGCAATGTATTTCATAATCATCATCAAGGACAGGACTTGCGGAAGCAAAGGTGGCGTTAGCTTGTCAGTTGGTCCACGATGGGCTAGTGCACTGAACAGTGGTTTCCAGTTCCAATGTGGAACCTGCTTGTCATTGATCGATCGTAGATTGCACGTGTTCGAAAACAATGGTGCTGGAGTGCATCGAATCTATTTCGGTAGTGCGTCCATTTGGATGATGGTTTGATTTAGTCGTGCTAGTTATGCTCGATCTGTATGTCAGTTGATCTGTTAGCTTCCGCCCTCTGTTTGTCGGATCAAGCTCTGATTGAAGAACGGTACATACGAACTGGAAAGAAACAGGGAAAGTTTAACAACCAACCTTATTTGTTTCTTGTTGGATTTGGTCACCATGGTTGACTCCCTTCGGTAAATATAGGTATTCACTAACACCACACAGCCAGTGAAGTTGTTTATCCCCAACCACTGCCCGCCAGACAAATCCACTTGATACTCATGAAATGGTGAGCTGGACCTTATGCCCCGTCTTGTGGATTAAGCAAACAGTACTTGTACCCAAAGGTCGTATGCATATTGACACCTCTTGTAACAATAACGTACATTGAGCGCATTCCCCTGTCACTACTACTGTCCACTGGAACGCACAGTACTTGCACGTGGTTGAGATTTTCCTTCTGAAAGACCAGTGACCAAAATGTGCCACTAAATGGGCAAGTATGCATAGCAAAATAAACGTGGTACTGCGGACGTGTGCTTCCTGCAGACGGCACCGCAATCCTTTTGTCAGCCCTTGGATTTCTTTTTCACCCACTGCGACATATCAGAAGGCTTGAGATAGCCTTTAATTGAGACAAAGCAACATCTGTACAGTTCTATTTCTATGATCATCACGAAATTTTCCAGTGTCACGTTATAATTTGTGCGATAGTGCGAGAAGCGCCGAGCTAAAATTCTCGATCCTGATTGGTTCACATTCTGACCCATCAGTGCCTGACTTCGTGTGGTCCGTGGCCAGTTGGCCTCATATCCGTCCCAAGGAACGTGACGTTTGGTTACTAGAATAGCTTGATTCCGAACACGTAGGAAGCCGAAATTGCGAACGCTTGAGGGTATTCAGATATTCGGTTTGACTACGCCGACGATGAGTGATTTATTGATAGTCACAGGCCAACAATAGATGTGATATCGGGGCCAGCACGCTGAGGATACATCGGTTCCGTTTGCAACGTTGCTTAGAAGACTAGTGAATGCTGCTCTCACGCTGTGCAGGTATGGTCACTGCGTTTCATCTTGTACTCCATTGGTTCAACATCTTCCCACGGAATGACCTTAAAGGGCGATTAGGTTGCACGTCGGGTATTCGCACCTGACTCTGAGTTGGATGTGCACTATTCCTAGGACCTGATTTACCCCGAATCCGTAGCCTATGTGTGCACATTGCCTGTCGTAACAGTGTCATGGGAAGAACCCCAATGAATAGGGTGAATACCCTTTCAAATTTCCGCTCACCCCCATATGTTTGCCAGTGTTGTATTTTTTTTTGAAAATAGTATATTTTCTATTGATTCCAGTGTACCTTCCTCCGTCTCTGTTACGGTCTCATTGTAAACTAGACTTCGAACTTACAATTTGATCTTTAGTTGCGTGCTGAGCGATCTGTTTGTGGTGCAGCATTTCTGGATTGACAATAAGCCTGCTTTCATAAGGGCCTCAAATCTCTCCCCTTTGGAAAGTAAACCTGCAGTTAAATGCTCATCCTGACAGCTGTGAGGCAGTCTGATATTTACCCGCTTTTCCGACTCAACTCTTGGAATCGTTTTATGACTTGGTGTTGAATACACTCTCTGTTGTGAGAATTGAACCTTCCTAGTAGAATCCTCAGTAGCCTTTTATAACATTAGAAGCCGCATTTATCGAAATTCATAATAGATTTTATTACCCTGCTTCTTTCCCTCCAATACTCCTTCCAACCCAATTTTGAACTGTCGCCGGTGCTACCAGATGTGCAGGCCTCTCGCATTTATGATGTTCGGAATGCATTCGTTAATCATTCCAACTAATATCCCCTTCGACTGGACAGCTTTTGGGTTCACGTGGGCCTTTTATATAAATGTCTTGACCTTTTTATCAATCAGTTAAATGATACCCACGGTGTTTTTTTGAAGTCCACCGAAGTAGTTGGCCACGCCCACGTGGTATTTTTTCCGCCTGTTGTGTCGCAATGTTTGCACAGTGGGTGCCACGTGACTTGAGGCAAACACAAAGGTTTCAGTTTTGCCAGGTTGCCTTCTTTACCTTCTTTACCAAACCTTTGAACTGCCATTAGCTTTGTTTTTGTTCCAGAGATTTATGTACCGGGTTGCATTAATGCCGTTTTGTAGAACACACCCGCCATTCCTATCATATTAGGTAACATTGGGTTGGAAGCACAGTGCGCCGCCAGTCGGGCGGATAAAGGAAGAAATAGGCAAAATGCTCGGGTTTTGAGGATGCATTGGGGTCACAGCGGGCTATCATATGGATAAATAACAAGACGGTACGATGCTGGGTGAGCCAAATACGACCAGGTGGCGGACAAGGGTGCAGCCGTTTTACTGGCGCATTATACTATGGGGCCATCACTCGACGTCGCGGTTACGTTGTTTCTGTGTGGCTATCCTGATTGGACATCTTCGGGTGACACCGATCCTGCTAGTTTTTGACTCTAATTGTCCTGTAGCCGGCAGGACCACAACCTTTCATTTGATCATCTGACAGTCAGTCAGCTGCGCTATCTGGGCTATCCAGCGTTCGTCTTCGCGGATACTGTCTCGTCTATTTGCTTCAAGTTGCTATTTTTTTCGGTCGCTGTTGGCTGCTTTTCACAGTAGTTTGATGTTGATAGTTATCATGGTTGTAAGCTCTGCTATTCGGCAACGGCTTTCGCGGGGGGTGGGGGGCATTGTCGTGCTTCCTACTTGCCAGTAAAAATTTAGCCACAGAACAACAACGACAAAAGACAGCAAGAAACTAACCAGAACCTCTCCACAACTCTAAACATAGCATAGTGCTACCAAGCATTCGTAACAATAATCGTTCAGCTGTAGTTTCCCTCTGGTGCCTACTTGCGCGCCGTTCGAAGAAAGCACGAGAGCTGCAATACCGCCAAGTTGCCCAAGCCTAAACAGGACCTTCCGCTCAGTAAGTTCACACCTTAACCACTGAGCCATCTCATTCGGTGATTGGTCAGCCGGCTGTTGATGCGATTCTCGAGCGTGGCATTTCGCCTGCAAGCGTTTTGTCAGTAATTGAGCCGTCATTGCGTGCTTGAGTGGGAGCTTTCTCTCCACCTGCTTTTGGGAGTATCTGATGTCCCTTGATGTGTTTGGTGGCTGTACCTTTACTGGTTCGTCGTTGGTTTGTGTTGCCCTGTAGTCTCTTCTGTTTAACTTCATTTGTTACTTCCTTGCCTTCTGTTTTTACTCTTCTCTCTCTGTTTGGACTGGTCTGTTCTCATTTCGTGTCGTGTTGGGGTCTTATCTTCCTGAGTTTAATTAATCGGTTCTCTTTGTGATGACCGGTTAATCAAATACCTCCCTTTAGTAGTTTGTCCTTTGTTCAACTTGGTTCTTCGATTGTGATGCATATTTCAATCAGAGGTGGTTTATCCGGTATATTTGGGCTCCTAAACCCCAAACAGAAGTCGAGAACCACTAAAATTGGAAGGTACCTTAGTAGTCATTCAAATTTAAGCAGCACACACCACAATACAACAAACATCACTGGAAGTAGCCACTTGCTAAAACACACAGTTAAGTGAGAAGTATCCACCCAACCGCGCGTTCATGCTATACTCGATTGCTGACGAAATGAAAGCCAACTATCAAGCTCAGCCAATAAACGTGGTCGAGCTGTCGTATTTCACCAGCTGACTGTCACACAGCTGGACTCACGATTAGTTGGCAAACTTGGGTTATTTCTGCGACGTGAACCCCAACTGCAATGTAGTTGTCATCTTCCTCTGAAAAAAAACAGAAAGACGTACCAAGAGTTATCCCTCCTTAGCGAAACTCTACTAATGAGTTAAGTCACAGGGGCCCAACTAAAAGTGTAGACTGTAGTTTCAAGCATCCAAAAAAGTAATCAACAGTTTATAACAGGTCTATAATGAAAGCTACTTAAGAGCCTACCTTACAAGTGACCTTGACCATTCTCATTACATAGTGGCTTGCATCCTTTCGCATACCAAAACGGCCTAACTACCATCTAGCAACGATTCATTCTTTCTTACTTAGATAACGAACAAACTGGATTTAAAGAATCCACACTTCCGTTACAACGGTTATCCGCCCGCCCCTCCTCCCGGTTCGCACACGCGGTCGCCAACTGAGACCTACTATGCTAATCTGTGTATCCAACAACAGCAACAGCCACTTCAGGTGCAAACTCCACAAGCCACTACATGGACAATCCCTGTTGGAACGGCAGTCGGAACTTCGGTACCCGCAGGCTCCCTGGTAGTGAACGCCACGCACACGACTAGCTCTGTCCCGTCTGTCGGTGGCAATGTGGCGGAACAACAATCCATGCAATTATCCCCTCAACCACTGGTTCCTCCCGCATCTGCACACGGAATCCTCGGTTCTACTCCGGCCCCCGGACAGCAGCAACAGTCATCTTTAGCGGGCGCACCTTCTATCGAATCCAGCTGCGCGGCAGGACTAGCCACTGGGATCTTCTTCAATCCGACCAACACTGCGCTCATGACCGGTGTTGATGATGGGTCCCCGGGATTAATTCCTATCGGGCACTCGACAAACGGATGGCGACCAGGTGGGTCACTCGGCCGTATTTCTCCAGTTGCGTGTTACATCAGTGGTCTGTTACTGGTCCAAGGTGATCTCCTTCCACACTTTCAGCCATACCATTCCATTCCAACAGTGGCTTTACTCCTAATAATCCTGCTCCATGTGTCTTCAGCTTCCAAGGCACTTTGCACAAATTATTGTTTGCCACAAACAATGGACCGGCTGATCGTTCAACTGTTTGATACTAGTGGTCGACAAGCAATAGGCAAATTACTCTATGCACGGTGACTTTCCCTATGCTTAGCAGCTGCCACTGTTTCGTATGTTTGTATGTTCGCTGTTGGCGAATTACCCGATTCACTGATGCTGTCCCTACTCTTAGCAGCTGCCACTGTTTCGTATGTTTGTATGTTCGCTGTTCATTAGGCACTCCTACTCTCGGCCTATCTAGGTACGGTGTGATAACATAGATTAATGCACGTCGTTTCAAAGGTGCCTACACAGATCATTATTCGTTTGCTGGTCATATTTGTTACCTCTTCAGCTGATTGATACTCAACAGACCAGTTGTTTTATCAGCAGCTAACTGCCCCTTTTAGGTCTCTTGCGAACACTCATTCGGTTCAATCGACTCAATCTGGCTGTCCGTTTTGTTCTACTGCCACCTACTTGTCCTATGTGAGTTAATGGGCAACACAGTTGGAACATATCGTTTCCATTAACCTGGTCAAGGCAACAATGTATTACCTAGCCTATGTCAGCTGGAGACTAGTTGGATCCCTCACCATTCCTCAGTCAAAACGCGGTCACATCAGCCAGATTGAGAGGTGTTCACATTGATGGACAGACTGTGCCTGTCTATGTTGCACGACGAACTGTCAGACACTAAAAATGACTGTTAGACCGAGAGCACGTGCGTCACCACACACAGACTTTGTCTCTTCAGTTCTCATTCTCAGTAACCGGATACCTGTCAATAAAAAAATGGGAGCGAGGCTGGAGGCGCTTTTCCTATCCGAGCGGTACTCATAAAACAATGTTCCTATCGTAGCATAGTCCCCTGAATAAGTCAGAAGTCTATGCGTCAACCATGTTCTTGACCTTGGTTCATTGTTGTTTCAATTTTTTTCATGTTCTAGGGACATTCGCTATCGAGTAACGCCCCATTTCAACAGTGGTGCGTCTGAGAACCTGTCCTGCTATTTGCCGAATCCCGTCCAGACGAAGGAGTGTACCGTTTCCGTTTTTACTTATATCGGGGGCAATAACTGCGTTGCTTCCTCCCTTTTAAAACACGTGGTCTTTTCCACACTTGCTCTTATCATGTGCCCCCCATTCCGTGTCTCCCCCCCTATTCACCGGTACGGTAAGGTTCACTGTTCCCTTGCTTGATTCTCCTGTTCCGCTGCCTCAGGTTGCTTGCGCTCCGGAGCATACTGATCTTCGATTGTATTCAATGGTAAACTATTTAGTCCCGGTATCGTAGTGATCGATTGTCATCGTTTCTCCCTTTTCCAGACGCACACACGCTTGCCTCGTTCCGTTCCGTTCTCATGTATGTTCATCTACCCCATGTTTGCCTCCACCCCCTCACCCCCAGCGTAGCCCAACCGTTTTGGGCTGATTTTCGCTAATCCCGCACATTTATTGGGACTGTGCATTCTAAGATTATGGATAAATCTGGCAAAAATGAAGTTGAATTTCCGTTCCATCGTTTATTCAAATAATTTGTGAAATTCGGTCCATTGTGTCTGGGTAACGATCAGGTTGGATAAGCGAAAAGCCGGGTGGTTGGATACATGGCTGCTTTGTTGAACCTAATGGGAGTTACTTATTTGAGCCAAGTTGGCATCCCGCGTGTCTAGTTCCCGCAATAAGAGACATGACGCAGTAGTTGAGGTTGAGCACTAAAAAATTGCAATAACAGCGATTTATGTCTATTTGGATGCGATGAACCATGATGTCCCATTACATGAGGAAACGGTTCAGGTACCATCCTGAAGGTGACAAACTGTTCATACATGTTGGAAGCAGTCAGCAATGAAGGAGGCGCAGACTGTGCCAATGGATATGGGAAATTGATCTGGTTATGGTTGCCTATTAGCCGTTTAGTGTTTGTGTGTATACCTGGACTGGCTTACCGCTTCCCCGAAACACCACTCATCTCCTACAGTGTTTCAGTCGTGATATAATCTTGAGGCAATATCATTATCAAGCCGTCCTACTGATCTCATACTTTGGATGAAGCGCTTGCCGAAGTCGTTCAGTCTGCTTGAACATGATGAACTGGGGACCAGTGGTTTTCAGCGTAGTTCCGAATTCCGGCTCTACTACAACCTGACTGTAATCGAGTCAATTCTAGTTGTTTGTTTAAAGTCGTCCGTGCGCTAAAAGCGAAACCCCTAAACTAAATGAAACGGTAAACAGACTAGCCTGTGAATTATCTATTAAGGCACAAGTTTGGGCATCGTTTTCGTGTCAACGGGGGGTGCATGTGCCTTTTGTTTCAGGAGCAGGAGGTTTGTTGATCCGGTCCAAAATGGAAATATGTAATTGGATTGACTAAGATCCTGGATCCGAAGCTGGACGACGCACCGCCGTGATCCCGGAAAATCTATCAGGAAAAGGCTTCGGTTTGCTCCTTGCACAAACAATTTTCCTGGATGCGTTCCGAACCAGGCGGTTGTTTGTTTACAGTGCCCCGATTGTTTATTTCTGGAGTAAATGGAAACTGACTAATGTTGGTCTTCAAGTGAGGATTACTTAAATGGATGATCGGCAAGTATTGATCCGGGTTCGGACTGACGTTGGCTGGATTGTATTGCGTTGTGACTTGTTGGTTCCGCGGTGCCGCCTACCCGTATACACACGTCCGGCATTTCATTGTTGTGTTAAAGTTGGCTGCCAGTCCATTCCAATGAAGTGTATGCTTGCTCTTTCGGTAATAAGCCCCAAGTCACCCACTGATGAAGTCCCGTAGCACTCAGCTTCACAGCAACAATGCAATGTGACAGTTGGGTGATTCTTTGACGCCGCAACACCGTTTGTTTTTGGTGTAATTTAAAACCCATCTTTAGATTCTGGGCGGTTCAGTGTTTCCGCTAGTTTACACAGACCCCTAGTTAGAAAGGAGGTCGACAGAGAAATCTCTACTTCTGGCACTTTGTCAAGGTACGGATGCCAGTTCGAGGTAGCGCAGCTGTCAAAAAGTTCTCAAGTCAGGTCAAGTAATGCAGGTTACGACGAGTTTTTACCACACAGATTTAGGGCGGTACCACATGTAAATGATTAATTGACTCGGTATACATAGAAAAAGTCGCCTAACAACCACATGTAAATGATTAATTGACTCGGTATACATATACATACTCGGTATAGGAAAAAACAATCTTCCAGCTGTAACACCCTTGCGGCGCCTAGCTCTCATGCTACCCGAAGGAAGTACGACGGCTGGGATACTCCCAGGTTGCCCAAGCCTAGACAGGGGGAGTCGCGAGACAGAGGTCGGATTCGAACCACAGACCTTCCGGTCAGTGGATGCTCTGCACAAGTAGCTGGGACGTACGGTCATCAGTAGTGCAGTAGAATGAACTAATTACCGAACTAAACCGGATTATTTCCCTTGGGTATACTCGTGGGTTTGCCATTTGTTCGAGTCCATGGATTATGCGTGGCTTTTGTTAGCGAACGGTGAGAAACATCTGGATTTGCGACACGAATTAGGGACAAGCATAACAATGTTTGCTCATTACGACGCCAACGGAGGCATTCTGATTGTTGAGTCTAACTTGACCTTATGATGCTTCCCATTCGTTTACTCACTCTGCCTATGTACTTTTGATCTCCAGTCGTTTTGCCTACCCGTACCCGCCACTCACCTTGCCTCAGAGACTGTCCTTTCTGCTCTGTGTGTGAATGTGCGCTGCTGATCTACTTACCCATGCGCGTTCAGTCCCGTTTGCTGAGCCTGCCTTGACTTGTTCCCTCATGCGTTCCGTGTGATCGCACGTCCAATGAGAATCACGAGACCGTCGTCGGGAGGGACGACCGCAACCCATGCTTCTGAGTCATCATTCCGCTCGCCGTTGTTTGGTGTGCGGCGTTGACACTGCACTCTACCGGTCAGTGACAGACCTGTGAACTTGTTAACGCTACGTACGTGAACAATTGAGGTTTGTTGTACACATTTGCTTACCCTCGTGTAAATAGTACCGTAGGATTTCGAACCCAATTCTTCCTTTTGATATTTGGGATTGTCGAACCTACGCGTCACTCAAAGTTCCGTATCGGAAACCTTAACACCGATTCACTGATGTGAGACCCAGTCACTATTCGGATCGGGTAGACCAAAGCAGCCTTTGCTGATTTCCAATACCTGTTACACCGAAGTATCCGTCGAGGGCGTAGTACACCACGATGGAGCCATCCATACTGACTTGTGGATCAACACTGTGGCCGAGGTGCGCAGAAGATACACGAAAGCTTTACGTGTTCCCGAACCGTCCCTCAGGTCTGGTGAAAGGATTAGATCAGAAATGCTGGGAATGTCACAACTCTTCTGTGGCAGGCATTCGGGGGTTACGCGAGTTAAGCCTTCTTGTTTACATAAAAGCGGATCCTTCAATTTGCCTTTCTTGCTCAACCGTGTGTCGAGATGATTGAAAAGTGATTATCCCACGGATTGACAAAGAATAAAGACGTCGATTGGCAAACACAGCTTGATGGACACCTGCCTGAACGAAGACCTCTATGTGTGACACACCAATGAACCCGACAAACAGTTCATCAAACCAGCCAGAACGCATAGTTTGTGAGAAGTGGATATTTCCCATTGTTTTCATCTGTCCTCTTTATTGTTTCTTCGTGTGTCACGACATTTTCTTTGGTATTGTCTACACACGTTCATCCTCTCACGCCTGCGACTTACAGTTAATCTGACATATTGACATCTCTCAACTTCCGTTTTCCGGCTGTCTGGATGATGCCGGCCAAGGGTACCCAGTGTTCTGGCCATGATCCAGTTTCGCAACCAATGGTGACCCTGCATCCAAGCCACCAATCTAACTGCATGGACATCCCACTTTAGTGCGTGGCGGTCTCGCCTTTATTCTCGCTTTCTCGATTAACAGAACTATAGCAGCTGGAACCAACATACCCTTGGTACGTGGTTTGGAACGGAATAGTCGCAAGAGGTAAATTTATCACAAGTCTGTTTCCAATATCGTTCAAAGATTATCAATGAGAGGTAAAACCTTCAACCAAGCGTGGAGATTGGGGGAAACTGAAGCTCATTCTTCGTAATTCATGCAAACCTAGTGTCGTTTAACATACGCGTGAGAACACGGGTAATATGGCGAAAACATGTTATCCCAGTTTGCTTGCCAAATAATTCTGTGCCTATACCAAAAATCCGCGCACAAAGTGTGTGGTTGAAGGAAACGCGCAAAAACTGACGAACAGGATCACTTCAAGGGCGTGTGTGAATTGGTTACGGCCTATAAAGTTTTGCTTATTCGCTTAAGTACCTGATTTCCCATTTGTTAACTGTGAGATGGACCAAGTGGTTAGAGCACGAATTTACTGACCGGAAGCTCCGTGGTTCGAACCCGACCTCAGCCTCTCGACTTCCCCTGTCTAGGCTTGGGCAACCTGGCAGTATCCCAGCCCTCGTGCCTCCTTCGGGTGGCGTGGCAGCTAGGCACCGAAAGAATGCTACAGCTGAATGGTTTTTATTTTGTCTCATTTTCAGAAGCCTCAAAGGAGTTCAACTCGGCGTTATAGTCGACGCCCCATCTTTCTACTGGTGATATGACTAGTGTGCCAATCATCATTGTCGTCTGAAACTTTTTCTTGTTAGGCCGTGCTGTTTCGGGACAACACAAACATGTTTGCATTTTTCTTGGAGTCGCCAAAACACAATTTAACTCTTCGGTCTTACAGCCATTCGTGTTGAACTCTGAACACTATTCGGGATGTTTCCAGTTAATAATAAGTCGGTATTCACTAAATCCATAAGGTGGGTCTTGTTTAATTAGAGATTCTTTAGGAGAGACGTCGAGGACTATTGATCTTCCCTGGAGCACACAAGCCTTAGTCACCATCGGTATCATCAGCTTCAGCGTCGAGCCGCGTCTGTGAACCATTCGCTCATTTTACTGACGTGTTAGGTAAACGAACACAATCATAAAGAACTGCATACAGAAAAATGCAGGAGCAGAATCGGGGCTATCGAGAATGAAAGTGAAAGTTGAGACTCCTTTTGTTCCAGGTCGTCTTTACAGCCTCCTCATATCAGAAAGTGTCCTCGGAGCGTCGTCTTTTAGTTCCAAGTGTGACAAACGATATCTACCGATTTCTTTATGCGGCCAATGCCTTGATATGTCGTGTCCGCGCCGTCGCCCTTTTCTTTAGTTAAGTTTAGGTTCCGTAATGCAGTCACCCTCTTGACATTCGAATAACGTGATGTGGCCGGTGGACACCGCATTTTCAGTAGGTCGGTCACTGAACGCGCTTTTAGCACAATTACGGTTACGTGTCATTTCACCGCTGATCTGATCAACCAGATTGACAGGAGCCAGCGGCGGAGACAATGTTTGTCGGAAGCTGAGAGGTTACGTGCATCTCGGAAAGCGTAAAAAGGCTGGCCGTACATTGGCTCTAAAATCTCTGCCACTGGCAAACGACTCCAAGTTATTTTTTACTCCAG